TGTTGCTTGTGCTTCCTATGCCTACAATTATATACATATCTACACCTGTGCATATCTCAGAACATGGCTGAGTCAAGACAAATTCCAACACCTCTATAGAAGCAACATGGTACACTAGAAAATGGTAGGAAGTTGTCTGGCTATTATCGCAAATAGGTAAATGTGTGGCTATTGAGCTGGTTTCTTGTTTGTAAGATGACAGAATCGGATCAAATTATTTCTAAGGTCTTTTCCAACTCAACTACCCCTCTTCACCTCCTTTGCTAAATATTCTATATACTTCATGTCTCAACCTTAATGATCTAACCTTATTATTTTTATAGGTATTTTCATGCTTTTCCAATGAGGCACTACATGAAAACCACTAAAATAACATAAAGAAATAAGGCTGTCCTTTGAACAATCATAAAAAATAAAAACAGTATGTTTTATGATAAAATGTAACACCACTTACATAAAACCACTTTAAAGAAAAGGAATAAGTTGCAGGCTTGTAAGACCTGCAGAGAGTCTGACTAATAAAGTGACAGAAGAAGCTAATTGAACTACAGAAATAATGTCAATTAGAAGGCAGGTTGATCAGTAGTTGAAGGAGAGATAATTTCTACTTTTATGATCCCAATGACAAGGCTTTCTTAATTGTTGGAACTGGTCATCCCTTTTAGTCTGATAGCAATAATGCTCACACTACTTTTTTTTTTTTTTTTGGTACCGGGGATCGAACTCGGGACCTTGCACTTGGCAAGGCAGGCAGTGGCACCACTGAGCTAAATCCCCAGCCCAACATTACTGAACCATGTTGTTCTAAGATTTTACCTTCATCAAGCAACCTAAATGTAGTTTGGGTTTCCATAAAGATTTACCAACAGGAAAGGTTTGTTCCCTATTGCTAGTATTTATTTCTTATTTTAAAATAAAAAGTGATATTATGATTTTACATACTGGCATCATGAGAATGCACCCTAAGTAATGAACCTACTGTGTGTCCCTCAAGAGGCCCTAGTAAATTCCTCCAGATAAAGTCATCTTTGAATCTTGTCAAAGACAGATAATCAGAGAAATTTTCCATATAAAACAGCTACAGAATATACATTTCTGTAAGAAAGGCATGAAACATCTTCAGATCCCTCTCAGAGGCCTGATTTACCATCTGGCATTCAGCAAAGCTTCTAGATGAGTGCTTCTCAATTGCTTCTTAAATTTTCTCTTAGGGCCAGGGATTTAGCTGAGTGGTTTTGCCACCTGCTGAGCAAGTCCAAGGACCCTAGTTCGATGCCCAGTACCAAAAAAAAAAAAATTCTCTAAAAGCCACTATTCTTGTATAATACATTATTTCTCACACTGTGGTAGTATTATTTGATGTATTTCTTCCTGGATAAATGACTAACAGTGTGCTAAGAAAACGAAGAAAGGGAAGACAGAGATAGAAAACTGGTAGACTACATGGTAGACAAAGCAAAACTACATAGTTAGAAAGAACTAAGTTTGGTGAAAACCAAGGGTTTCTATAGCTCCTTTTTCTTCAGGAATGATTTTATAGCCTCCCTTATTTTGGTTCAGGGCCAAGAAAGTATGATCCAACTTTACATTTCTCATCTATGCTGTGAGAACTGGCAAGTTGGTAGTACTTCCTGAAGGCCCCTGTGCTGAGGTTACAGGACAGCCTCAAGAGAAAAGTTATCTAACATTTAGAGCATTCACATACCTACATTTTCTTGGTAATAAACAGAGGTGTCATTTATTATTTAAAATAGACAAGATCAAATGGAGAGCTGCTTATGGGACTTGGGACTATCGTTTGAAGCCTTATAATGTGTTTTTGTTTTGTTTCATGGTACTGGGGATTGAACCCAGGGCCAACCCTGGACTTTTTTAAAACAGCGTCTCGCTAAGTTGCTATGTTCCTCAGGCTGCACTTGAACTTGCAATGTTCTGGGCTCAGCTTCACAGATGCTGGAATTACAGCAGTATGCCACCATAACAAGCTCCTATAATCTCTAATTGAAAGGGAGAAGGTTAGTGACTCAAAATAATAATTATGAAAAGTCATTCATTCACTCTGTACAATGTACTAAAACTTTTGCTGTGAGCCGGGTCCTATGTTAGATTTGGGGGGTAAAGATTATCAAGAGATACTGTCACTTGCCTCTGGAGAGCTTGCAGAGAAGTACATGAAAGCAGCCATATGCTGACAGTGGGCTGCTATCATTTTAGAAAGCTGAGGATTTGATTTTGTCTTTTCTCAGGTCTGGGGCTGCTAATTAGCATGGACACTAGTGATCTAGTCCTGGGCTTCGAAGAGCTTAATGTGGAGAAGCACATCATGTCATACAGTTTTTTACGTGTAAAAGCATGACAAATACAAATAGTATTCACTTTTATTTGAAAGGCATTTTACAATTTTCAAAGTACTTTCACATCCATTATGTAATGCAAAGTAACCTATGAGATGTGAAAAAAGCATGGCTCCTTTTCTAAAAGAAATTAAGTGCTATAAGAAGTAACTCACCCTAATTTAGTAAAATATTAGTAACAGACACCTAGATTTTAAAATTCTCAGCTCAAAGTTCATTTTTATCATACCATGAAGCCCCAATTGAAAGAGAAGCCAATGAATCATAACTGTAAGAAATGTCTATGAGATTTCTAGGATCTGCAAAATAACAATAACATCTATGTTTAATATAATGCTGAGACTATAGAATAGCCTCAAGAGTAAAGTTAGCTAATGTTTCAAGCACTCAATTCCTACATTTTTTTGGTAATAAAAAGAGGTATCATTTACTATTTAGAATAGACTAGACCAAATGGAGAGGTGCTTATGGGGTTTGGAGCTACCTTTTAAAGCCTTATAATGTTTTGTTTTGTTTTGTGTTATAAATACTTAGTTCTTCAACTTGAAATGGAAAAATTATCCAAAGATAAACATATAAAATGACCTATGAAGATTTTTTTGGTACCAGGAATCAAACTCAGGACCTTGTGCTTTCGAGGCAGGCGCAGTGCCAATGAGGTAAATCCCCGGCCCCTGAGAAGACTTTTTAAAAACTGCATAGTGCCATTATTCTATCCTTAAACTTCCTCAAATCTGCTCATGTGACAATAAACTTTGGTTTGCCAATAATTTATTTCACAAATCTATTATGATACAGAAACACACAGTCAAGAAAATTGAGATATTTCCTACAAATCCACTATAATTTTTAAAAAATAAACCTACAAAGCTGAGGAACTCTCTCCAACAACATTTCATCATTCTGGAGACTTTAACTTTGTCACTTTATTTTCAAGTTCAAAGAGATGGACAATGCATTCAAAGTTTTTCCAATTCTTAAAGTACTGAGATAATTATTCAAGTACAAAGCAAAAGCCATAATAAAAGGCTGAAAAAGAATTTATCCAGCAATAAAACTTAACTTTTTCCAAAATAGAATTTTAAGTAAGAGTCAGCAGATCCATGAGAAATTTATTCATTCTGGAGTAATAGTGTTCTCACTAAAACGGGACATTAGTCTACTTGTCATTGCTTTTCTAAGAGAATAAAACACACACATACACACACCTTTACTGAAAACACACAACTCATTTACAAATAAAACAATGAGTATAATCTTATTTTAAAATTTACTAGGAAACAGTTTAAACACAATCTCTAATATACCATATAAAGTGAGATGAGCTATCCGAGGTATTTTGAGTCTAAAAATACATTTTCTTATTCTGAACTAGTCAGACTGGCATTTAATCCAAACATCATCAAATGTTGAAGTAATTATGCCAGGATGAAAAGATTAAACACAAACTCTCCAAATATTTCATGGAGAAAACTGTATAAAGATTTGAAGATTGTATAACTCTGTCCCTGTTGTCCCTTTTCACTCAGCACATGCATACACAACAAAATAAAATAAAAAGACAGTATAGACAATGACAGTGAGAATAAAAGGATTGATTCCTGTAAGAGTTTATGTAACATAAGATAAGATAAATTAGAAAGATACCTGATATTAAGCAATCATTAGTGGGGGAGGAGAAGCTTTATTTCTCGTTCAAATTACTATATCTACTTAGTTTCTACTTTAGGTGGGCTGAAATATTAATAAAGATTCTAGTGTAGAAAAAGAAATGCCTCCAGTAAGATCTGAATTTAGTACTAAGAATTAAAATGTCTATTACGAAAGATCTTATTAAAAGAATTGTCTCTGCAGTCATTAAAAATACCAGCTTGTTTAGCTAGCTATTACCAGAAAATCTGAAAGGATATTCTCTTTTCCTTTCATAAGCTGGAACTCTATTGGAGGAAAAAATTAAAAGGGTCTAGTTCTTTTTAAAAGTAATCTTTTGATTTTAAAAAAGCAAAATCAACCAGGGGGTGGTGGCATATCTGTAATCCCAGCATTTGGGAGGCTAAGTCAAAAGGATCACAAATTCAAGGACAGCCTGGACTATATGGTAAGACCTATTCTCAAAAAAAATAAAAAAATAAATAAAACAAAAAATAAATAAAAAAGAAAGTAAAACTTTCTGATTTAAGATCAATTTCTATAAAAATCAAGTCCATCTGCCATGTCAAGACAATTCATTAGCAAACCGCAAGTCTGAACAGGTTACATTCTCCAGAATATATTAAAAAAGGTAAATTTTTGTTTTGTTTTGGACCTGTACCACTTGAATAAAAGGGAATTATGTATAATATAAACTATTTTTCGGAATCCAAGCAGAAAAGGTTTTCCACTTGAAATGGCAATCCAACAAAGCAATTTCTAATATAACATGCAATTTCAGTATGAGTTCTAAATTTTGAAATAGTTTAAAATCAAATTTGCTAACACCTAATATAAAAAAAGAAGCAAGCTTTGATGAGAAACCCAGAATCTCAAGTTTACACATTTATATACTATTTAATCACTTAAAATAAAAAAGTTTAAATAGAAGACATCTGAGGTTAAAAATCAAATTGATGTCTATAACCTAGTATCAAAACACTGTTCTTTATTTAAAAGGAGGAAGTTTCTAACATGAGGATGGAAAACCAAAACATATCTGCCTGCTTTATAAATATCTATGTCCTTTCTTGGACTCAGAAATACACTTTTATACATGTCCCTTGGGTTTCTATCACCTTCCATTTCACTGACCATCATTCTGCATTCAGATTTCAACATCTAGCCAAAGGCAGAGATTGAATAAGTCTCCTGAAGATTGGTAAAAACTAAAACCAGCAGAAAAGTAAGTAGAGGAAATACTCTCATGAGCAGAACTGCTGGAAATCCTCTCTTTTTAGAAAAATAAACATCTTGCTTTAAAGATAATCACTTTTAAGAAAAAACACAATACTACACAGAAATCACACCACTCTAATAATAACACTAGAACAATGATAAAATCCTACATATTATGGAAGTACTTTGAGAAGGAAAAAAAAGAAAAAGACTTTTTCCCAGAAAGAGAATGGGAGTAAAAAAGACTTTGATTAACTAGAATGCTCCTTTCTCCCCTTCGGAGTGGATTTCTTAACACTAGCTTAAAGAATGCTTTTCAAAATGAGTTTGTTGCTACTATATTCGTTGATCTTATTTACCGACAAAGAGAATATCTTAATTAACTGCCTCTATTTTAAAAATGAGTTAGTATGGCATCATGCACATGTGCGTGTGTTTTCCTGATGCTGGGGAACTAACCCACGGTTTTGCATATGCTAAGGACATACTCTACCACAAAGTTATTTCAATGATGTATTTTTTGACTCAGTTACTTTGGGCACCCTTCTTTCTAATGTTGAAATATTTTAAAACCTTAACAAGTCTGAAAAAGTCTTTAAACATAACAAAAATTTCAATAAGAACAAAAACCACTAGTCACATTTTATATATTTCCACATTATAAACTATAAGCCTATCATTTACTTTTTAGCTTATTTAAATATATTGTGCTATTAAAGAGAACTTTAAGTCAATTTAAATATTCTCAATATACACAAACAAAGCCATGGGCCAAACTTCTGCAACGCAATGACTTCTAAACACACATATCTTTAGATCTCTGTAAAGCATGGCACAAAAAGTAGCTCAGTTTTTCATAAACTGTGTAAGTTGTCTGAATTTCTGCTTCATGGTTTATCTCAAAATTCTATAAGTAATATTTAAATGTTCTTTTTATTCACTTTATTGAGAATTCTCTTAAGAGAATACAATGCAAAACATTGCCTATCTACACAAAGAACAAAAATTAAAACCCTGTTAATTCATCAGTATATTTTATATTTCCTGTTAAAGATATCAACTGTACATGAAGTTCAAATAGTTAAAAAGAATCTAGAAAAGCAACAAGAAAATGACTTTTAAAAATGACGCTTTTCACACCCAAGTTCAGTCACGCCAGCTGGAGAGGTGTTAAATATGGCTTTATTCCTTTTAAATCTGAGAAGTGTAGTCATTTCCATGACATTTCAAAAATTGGAAACGAACATTTTTTCTTCATGATCCTGATTCTTCTGATTCAAATCACATGTAGGAAATCAAACTTAGAAGATATTTTGGATAGATCATTTGCTTGTTACTGCTTACAGTCAAATTATTCTGTCCCAGATCTCCTAGCAAACTAGGAATACAAAGAGATAAAAAAGGAAGAACAACAACCAAAAAACTTGCCGCACACAGAATGACTAGGAATCTGAGCTGCTTCAGACATGTCATCCATTAAGGGGGCCTTTGTTTCTAATTGTATAAGGGTCCTTGGCTGCAGTCTGACTCACACAAGAAGTACACACGGCCCCCGAGAGGCCCTTTAGTCCCCTTTGAAAGACACTATTGGAGAGACTGTAAATGACACAGTTGCAGAAACTGTTACTAATTGCAAGCCAGGTGGTTAAGAAGGATGCAAAGCGATTATTATGGTCAGTGGAACTCTCCAACAAGAAGTAGATGATATATGGTAACCAGAGGATATAAAATACACTAGTGATGCGAAACAGGACCATGGCATAAGGTTTATCAGGACACGCCTGTACTTCCCCAGTCTCCCCACTCTGGCTACTGAAGCGAGCTTGCCTTTCGCTGATCTCCTTTGTGTGCTGTTGGCAGATGCGGAAGATGTTGAAATATGTGAAGCAGACAATGAAGGCTGCTGGGGCATATAACATCATCACGATGAACAAGGTGAAGTAGGGGTTGGTATGCCAGGACTCTGCACACCATTGAAACACATCTCCATGATATCCAGGTTTGCCCCAGTGGAAAAAGGAAGGCAGAAACACCAGGGTGGAATATAGCCAAATTAGGAAGATGCACAAGCGAAGTCTCCAGGGTGTAACCAGGCTATTATAAGTTAAAGGTTTAGTGATGGCAATGTATCTATCAATGCTGATACAGGTCAGAGAGGCCATGGAGACACTCTTCAGAACTGATACTACAAAACCAAATACCTGGCAAGTCAAGGACTCCTCTATTGGAAGGGGGTAGTGGAGGAGGGATAAAGAAGGGACTAGGCAGCTTATCCCAACTAAGAGGTCAGCATATGCCATTGTCTGGATAAAATAACTTGTGGTATGATGGTTCAACAAAGGTGCACAGTGAAATACAAAAATCACAATGATGTTGCCAATAATAATTAATACAGTTAGAAAGACAATAACGAGCACTTCCAAAAGGCAAAAACTGACAGTTTCCAGGTAGCCAAATGCCAATAGACAAAAAGGGTGGCTGCTCTGATTACCATCCAAGGTGGAGTTCATCTTGAGCTCAGGAGTGATCTCTCACTTCATGCTGCCGCTTGGCTGCTGCTAATGTTCAAAGGAGCAGCTGCTGTCACTGCGGTCAGCTTGCATATGTGTGATAATGTCAGAGGAGCCTTAGTCCCCAAGCTCCCGATGCTGCTGCTCTGGTGCATTGTCTGCAGTGTAATTCCCCTTTAAATCCTTCTTGGAATAGGGAGAGCCAACAGCAGTTGTCTGGCCAGTCCCAGACGCGGCCATAGTGCCAGGTTCACCATACACATAGCACCAGGGGAGTAAGGCAAACTCTGGGAACAATGTCTTCAGGCCAAGTGAGGGTAGGGGAAGGGGTAGAAGAAGGGAGGAAGCTTAGAACTTCAGCAGGAGTTGTAATGATTCTCCTCTGAACAGCTGATAGAAGAAAAGGAGAGAGTATTTTACATTTTGCATTCAATGCCCTAATCAATGAACCTAGCTACCTCCGGCTGGTATCACCCCTCCCACTTCACCCCTCCTGGTACATTTCATGGTTAATCTCAGTAATACCCTACATAACTGGTCCTTTACAGAGAAGGAGCAGCAATGCCAAGCTTTCAAGATCAGCATAAAACAAAAGCAATCACAGTCAGATCTATCTGCCCCCATTTTCTTTCATTTGAGCCTTTCAGGGGAGAAAAGCAATCTTACAGCAATTCTGAAAAACACTACTACAATTACCACTAATAAAGTCACCCAAGATAACTTATGTTCTACATTAAATCTGATGTAGTATTTTATCTCCGAAAAGATTTTAATAGAATTTATCTGTTTAACTCAATTTCACAGTGTTACCTGTAATTCTGCATGCTGCAATCCAAACAAAAGCCACAATACACTCCTAACAGAAAGCCTTGTAATGCAGGAATGTGCTTCAGCCCCGTGTACTGCAGAACTGAGACACAGAGGGAGGGGATAAAAGAGTAGGAGGGGAAACGAGTAGGAGAGGGGGCTTGGGAAAAGGAAGAAGGGGGAGGGGAAAGAAACCGCTTGTTTGACACACTCTGACATCTTTAGCAACTCATTAGAATTCATCACCCGAGAGCTGCTCCCCAATTATGATTATCACTTGCTAAATAAATGGGGGGGATGACTTAATTTGCCTGAAGTGAAGCATTTGAAGGCTGTTTCCTCATATGTCTGGAATACCTCTCTCAAACAGATAAGTAGAATTTAGACTTCTAGGCAAGGAAAATGAGTAGTAACCAGGCAGAGTCAGAAATTAAGACTGAAACACGCTGCCAGAGGGGCAATGGTGAGGGGAAATTTCTATTTTCTTGTAGTAATTTCCCAAAGAACAAAGAACAATATTAAAGAAAGAAGTGTGTTAACAGTACATGGCAACTGAGAAATCATAGTTCAGCTGCAAAAGAAGTTTGAGAAAAGGCTAAATATTTAACATTAATTTTCTCTCTCATAACTCACTAGATATTGGCTAATATTAAGAAACCTTAAAATTATATTTTTCAGAAGAATAAACACTGCCCAATCTGATTTTGCAAAAACAGCACGCATATAGAAATTGGTGCTTCTGTATTGGATATTAACCTATAGTTTTGAGATACCATTTCTTGCTTCTACTGTGCTAAGAAGCACTGCACAAAAACTAAAAGATGGCAAAGTAAACACACCCTATCTAAGCTTGAAAACTATAGGAAGTTTCGTAGTACAAATATGTCTTTGTATCTGAGAATACAGTCTTATCTCTGCCTACTTAAAACAATGAAAACTGGAATTATGTTGTGACTTTCCTGGTAATGTAATAAATGATGTCAATTTTAAGCTAATCAGGAGTAAGGTCCTGTGGGAATGGTGTGATTTTAGTACATTTTCTTCCAGGTATTTGAACTTTCAATTCATCTTTCTAAATAAAATTCCACATAGCCAGCAGAGTAAAAGAAAACAAACACTGGCATTTGTAAGCATTCCAGATCTACACACTTAAGTGAAGACATATATTATGTGATACAACTTTTGCTTTTACTCATTTTATACACATTTTCTTACTGCATACAAAATTCTACCCATTATTAGAATTCAATGAATTGCATTTTAAATCAGAAACATTGTGCTAATTACATGAAGCAACCAATTTAAAACCTATTTGAATCTAAGCCTGAGAGCAATATTTGACTATTCTTACTGGAAAACATGGCAAAACGTGGCACAGTAAAAACACCAACAGTATCAAAGGACAGCCAGGTGGCTCAAATCCTTGCTCTACTATTACTTAGCTTCTCTTAGTCTCAGTTTCATTACATGTAAAATGAGGATAATACTCCCTACTTCACAAGGATTCTTGGAAATAAAGACAGTGTGCACAAAAGGCTTACCAACACCTAGTACAAGGAGAGTATATAACTTTATTTTTTGCTCATACAAATAAAATAGCCTTCCTAGAGAGCCAGTGTTTTCACATCAGTCATGTGGCATTGCTTGAAGCTGGGCTTTTCTGCATCCTAAAGAGCCCTCTCTGACTGTGATGCCACAGGTCTAGGGCACAAAACAGCTCTAAGGATACAATGCTGCCACGCATTATTCAAATACCCTGAGATACACATATGCAAGAGAGTGAAGCCACCTGGAGAGAAGGAAGGACGATTAATTATTACTTCTTCATAAATAACTACTCTAAGTCCCTAGCCCTGATTTCATTCCTGAGCTCTTTCTTCTATTTACAATTTGCTGGTTAGTCTCACATTTTTCACCTGAATGCCTTTCTAGATTTTTTTATCTGTAGTATGTTCAAAATAAAATACATTTTTAAATACCAAATAAGCCCCTCACTTTTTTCTCAGCACTTTTCCAGACACTACTAAGGAAGCATCTTGAGCACTCTTTCACTTAATGCAATGTTTTTGTTCACCAAGTCCTGGGACTCTATTTCTACAGCAGTTTTCAAATTTCAATTCCTCCTTTCAGTTTTCAGTTTAGGCCATCATTAATTACCATTTGGGCTTCTAGTTTTGTCCATTTTCTTACTTAATCTATTCATTTTTGCCTGACCGAATATCTAAAAGCATATCTACCATTATGGAACTCTACTGTTCCAGTCTGAGCTTATTGTTCTATTTCCCCAAATCACTTCGCCCTCCAGCAGAACCAGGTTACTCACTATTCTAAATACTTCTCAGACATTTTATTTTTGAAGCCCCTAAATTGAGTGCTTAATAATTATTGAATGAAGGAATAATTTCTAAGAATTATTGCTTTTCAACAAAAGGAATAAATACTTGCCAAAGTAAGGAGAGTCCAGGCTTTTCTACTACTTGTAAATTTGGGCAAGCAATTTATTCTCACATTTCTCATGTATAAAACTAGAGTTATGCTGATAAAAACAGATACTGCATTGGCCGATAACAAATTAAATAATAAATTAAAATACAATAAAATAGAATAAAAACTATCATTACACTGGTATCAATACAATAATAATTCTTTGAATTTTTTTCTATCTCAGTAAAAGCCACTTTAATACAATCAAAATATTCCCTTAGGAAGCTTAAAAAAAGGGCTGCTAGCCTCATAAAGGGCTATTAGTTAAAAAAAACCTCAAATATTTAATTCTTTTTTCAGTACCGGGGATCAAACTCAGGACCCTACACTTGTGAGGCAGGTGTGGCACAACTAAGCTAAATCCCCAGCCTCTTAAATGTTTTGTTTTTAATTAAAGAAAAACAGACAAATACTTAATGGCTTGGGGAGGTAGTAAATATATATCATCATAAAATATTTCTTCCATATATATTCCTTTTTTATTTTTTGGAAGGCAGAGTATCTATTTTTGTATATATGTTACTGGAAAACAATACATTGAAAAAATCAACTTTACTTACTGGCTAGTGGGGCAAGTGATTTAAAAAAAATTTCTTCTTTATATCATTCTACATTTTCTAAATTTCACAACTTGTGTGTATTATTTTTATAATCAGGTAGAGAAAAATTCTTACAGGTACAAGAATATAATTGAATGAACCATATGAACTTGCCAATAGTTAACCATTTCATTTCTCGTTAAATATTTTCTGACCTGCAAAAACTACAACATATATAATTCCACCTGACAGAATTAAAATAAATTAAAATAATAAAAGAACAAAATGACAGAACTAAAAAGGAAACAAAGCAGAAAGAAATAGAACATGTAACAGAAAAAGAAAAAAAAACCGCTTCAATTATATTTATTATTTTTTCAACCTATCCAGAGGCTTAACTTCTACAAATGAGAAAAGCTAAATCTCAAAGAGTTAGGTGGACAGAAAATTTAGCAATCAATGTCTTTTTCTCTGTTGTAGCAATCAGGAGAAAAGTCTGTTTGCTACAATAAGAACACTCTTAAGATAATTCTTAGGAATAAATTATACAAAAAGGCACAAAGCCCATGTGAAGGCTAATCTTAAATTTTTAATAGACAAAAAATAAAATTTGACCAACAAGAAAATCATCTCATATTCTTAGATGTGAAGATATAATAACAATTTTGAATTTATACCCTCAACTGATACATAAATTAAATGCAATTCAAATTAGAATCCCCAGGTAACCTTATAGGGTGGTGGAGGTGGCGGTGAGATTGGAAAAGTGATTTTAAGGTACTTATGACAATTAATTTGCGAATACTCATGTAGAGTTAGGTAATAAGAAACACTGAGAAAAGACTTGCTTTACCAGCTATCAGAACATAACTCAAAGCCTCTTTAATCAAAACAATATTTGGATAGGAATACACAAACAGATCAATAACAATCCTAGCATACATGAGAGTTTAAGATATGACAAAGACCAGTAGCTCTACTCAGTAGGAAAACATGAGTAATGTAACTAATTATTCATCTCGAAGAAAATAAAACTGGACCACCATCTTAGGCTATGTACAAAAATAAATACCAGATGGATTAAAGACACAAGACACAATTTTCGACATAAAAATTGAAAATGTTCTGTAAGGCGTGAAACAACAGTCAATAAAAACCTATAGTTTCAAA